TATGACGACCACTTAAATCCGGACGAGTTCATGGAGTGGCTCCAGACCATGGAACTTTTCTTCGAGTACCAGGACGTCCCACCAGACAGAATGATGAAATTAGGTGCCATCAAAATAAGATGGGAAAATAAAAAAGTGTTATTTTGATTGGAAAATTTGAAGCATATACACTAGTGTGAGGGAAAAGACAATATCACTACGTGATTCAACATAAAGTGAGAGATGCAACGTCAATACTTACCAGTTCATTACAGATAGAATGTGCAGAAACTAGCTTCAAAAGTAGAGAGACAACATTATCGGATGACCACCACATCTTACAAGCAGAATTCAACTCCAAGATCAAGCAACAACGCACCCAGCGGAACCTCCAAGTTGACCCTGCCCAAAGAGACACTAGTTCAGAGTGGAGAACAAGTGGAACCAATTCACAATCCCAAACTCATCTCAACTAAGAAATGCTTCAAGTGTCACGCATTTAGGCATATAAAATCAAATTGCACAACTAGGAGAATGATCTCTCTCACAAATCAGGAAGAAGTTGAAGAAATAAGCAGTGATCTAGGAGATGAAAATTCTAGAAAAGATTCTCAACTTCCAACCGACGAGGCAGAGACACCAGCGATTATAGCTGACCCCATTAGAGTGACTCTCGCTGAATTAATAGTAGTTGTTCTATAGGGGAGTAAGTATGAGAAAACGTGCAATGACATAATAAACATTGAAGAATGTGATAACACAAAGGAGTACTAGGTTCCAACTGATGAGGGAGAAAAAGCATGTAAATCAAGTTGAGCCCATGTGAGAGACTCCAGCATAATTGAAATTGGTGATCTAAGAAGGTCCTATGTCTGTGGAACTTGAAGCAACCCTAAATAAGAGAATTTCAGGCTTTTCAAATTTTTAGTATACTTCCTAAGTTGCCCCTACTGGGGGAAATCCGACTTGTCAGAGATGAGAAGATTTTGAGTTACTTTTGGAAGATAATAAGAAGTCATTTGGGTATTAAAATTAATTCAGCAGTGTACCCCGCGATAGAGAATCAAACAGGATAAATGAACCACATCGTTGGAAATCACCTAAAGATCTTTGTGTGAAAGAACATTCTATAATGAGAACAAGTCCTCGACAAGAAGAGTATCCTCTAGTGGTTACACATCAATGTGGTCCAGCCAGCCAGAGATGTTTTAGAGTTGACCCATCCTGACATACTTGCTCATCAAACACATCTGGCAGAGTACGAGAAGTGGAAGAAGCATATTATAGGGTTATTTGCTCGGGATTTAGCTCGTGAGAATATATACGCTATATAGCTACAACCCAGGTTGTGCTAAAAGAAAATAGATATTTATTCTATCAAAATGTGCTTTTGAATGTCAGCGCCTATAAAGCTAGCTTGCCAGAAAATAATTTCTTTTTTTATACCTTCAACGAGACCAACCTAACAACTATGACAAGACAAAAACTTCAACATATGAGGTCAAAGCTCCGCCATTCCCGAGAAACTAATGTGTGAGCTTCCCACGAGGCACTATTCCGCGAATCCACACCCCCCCGACTCCCAAAAAAACTATAATCTGTGAACATTGTTGTAATATCGCATGGTGTCGATCCCACAAGGAGCTATCTGAGATCCCTCCTATAGTGCCACTGAATTTTTTGTCTTGCAGCGGTTCAAGAAGGCCAATTGACACTTGCTTTAAGTGGGTTTTCCTCCTATTTGAAGTGGGGTCCACACCTATTTACCCTAAGTCCAAATATGTAATTTTTGTGTTTTAACTCATTTTTCTTTGTGTTTTATGTCAGGACAGTTGTTGGTGTCCAGGAATTTCCCTTTCAAGGTTGTATCCGAATGTGAAAAGGTACTCCGGCTATAACTCATACTAGATGATGATCTCATTCTAAGGGATAGAGCGGTGCTCCACTTATAACTCATTCTTTAAGGGTTATTTATCCTTCCCCAAGTCCTCTGGAACCTTCCCAGACTCCGTCGTTGCATTACCCACCCTCCTCTTCGCTTCCCTCGCAGTCCCAGCCCTCCACCTTCGCTGTCGCCACTATTCCCTTCCTCGTCTCACTGTTTCAGCAGTTGTATAGCCCTCCGTACTTGTTGCAACCGCCCAGGAGAACAGCCTTGTTGTCTTTTCTCTGCAGCCCCGACACCCAAACACCTCTTTCAGTCATTCCAGCCATCCCGCTCGTGTCACAGTCCCCAGACAACCCTACCTTTAATGTAACGTAGTCCACATGCAACAACCAAATTCCATAAATCAGATAAAGGATTTGAGAAATTCTAACTCAAATTTCGCACCCCCGAAATTCAATAGAAATAATGTTATAAAATTCTAAGCAAGAAGCTGATCAATTAGATATAAAGTACAACATATAAATTAAAAGCAGATTGAGAGATCAAATTTTCAAGTTATAAGTATAATTAACTTAATTGAAATCTTAATTATTTTTCATAATCCAGCAACTACTGTAGCCAACCAACTCTCGCGCCATTTTATTCCCTGCTTTTGGTCGGATAGATCTTTTATGTTTTGAACTCCTTCCCCTCTGTTGAATCCCCTTCTCCTCTCTCCTCACTCTCGTACTTAATGTCCGGGCTCGCCGTCTAGAGCATCCCACGAACTCCCACAAAGAACCGCGACCCTGCACTGTAGCAAGCGGGTTGAGTAGCAAACAGGGAAGCCGCAGTCAATGGTTTAAGCTCCAAAAGTGAATCCAAAGATACAAATCGCTCTTTTACATCATTCAAAACATTCATTTCCTTCCTCACACTTTTATTTTGACATTGAAATCGATTCTTACAACTTTTTCGTTTTTGGTAGTCGTTGGAGGCACCAAAGTTGCGTCAAAAGTGGTTTACCAGCTTTTGTAAGAGTTTTAGCACAAAATCAGCAAAAGGAAAGTGAGGTTAGAGGTGACAGGAAAAAGATTAGGCTGATTCGGTGAAGTTTTGGATTTATGCAAAGTAGCCCGTTTGACATATGTTTTGGGTATAAAGTTATGCATTGAGTTAATGCATATTGAGTCAAATTATATGAAACCCTATGTTCCCTACGAACCATAGGTTATTCACACGAGAAGGCGAGTTCGAGGCAAGCGAGGACAAACTTCTCGTAGGGTTGTTTCATCAAGTTGGATGAAATAATCTTATGCTAATTTAAGAAAATTAACTTTTTGTAAGTTTATGTGATTATGTATTCAACACTATTATATTTAGACTTATTGCATATTGTAGAAAAATGAATGCTTAGAATATATGAATGTTAGTTGATTTCTGTTACGATACATATGATGTTATAATGTTATGGTACATATGACCATGTTGATGAAACTAATTGTCTATAGATATTCATTTGTTATGACTCATGCATGTGATGTATGAAATATCTAAGAATGTGTGCTTCAAGTAATATGTTTTAAAAAAGGTCACGAGAAATGTTATGGGTAGATTATTACATGAGTACTTACAAATATGCTATATAAGGATGTGGTATTCCCGACTCCTGATGTTCAGGAGGCGATGAAATTCTAGAATCGTTTTGATCAGGTGATGACAAAACATAGAAAATCGTTAGTATCAGGAGGGTTATTGATAATTGTTATGTTGAGGGGTAACATTTATCGATAGTTTATATAGTCTTTGGAGCAGAGTAGCGACCCATGATAAGAGGACATAGAAATATTTAAGAATTATACATTTACAAGTGACATTATTATGAAATGACACTTATGAAAAGACAATGTTATAATTACACACGATAAAGAGCTTACAAACATGCTTATGATTTCATGCTTATAGCATATACATATTTATACAGCAGGCTTGATTTCTACACCACTTGCTTTTCTTTTCATGTCTATATGACTTCAGTTTATTATGACTTGTGTATGTAGACTTGTACAGTTACATATGAGTATACACATTATTTTCTTTCAGTGTATAAAAACTTAGTTTAGCCTTGATTATTTCTCTGTGTTTGTTGTTACTCACTCTACGTTGTTGCCTTTCCAGTGAAGGCAACGACAACCGGGACAACTAGACAGGTGTGATTTGTACAGCTTCTGCACTTATAATTTTGGGAGTTTTTACATACATTTTGGTACATATTTTATTTATATTGGATTTAGAAACTCTATAAAATTTTCATGTTTTGAGGTTATGATTTTTCAACACTTCTTGGTATGCATATCTATGAGTTATGAAATGCAATGTATCATGTATGTTTGTAGTGATTTAGTTAAACAAGCTCATCACTCATTGGGTCATAATTCTACGTGTCAGGATGACTGTCACTGAGAATTTAGTCTGATCAAATTATTTGTTGCACCTCAGCCGACCCTTAAAAGAGAGTCAGTTAAGGTGTGACACCACAACCCTCTCTTTCACTGCCCCTTGTAGTCTCAACCCTCCACTTCACTGCCCCTCGCAGTCTCAGTCATTCCCTTTGCTATCATTGCTATTCTAGGTCATCTGCTTTATTATCAACGCAATTACAACCCCTCCTACTGTCCCAGCAATCCACGACCCATTTCAGTCTCCTGCTATCTCCCACACCATCGAGTTGATCTCCACCAACCGAATAGAGACGTAGTGTGTGTTTGTGTTGTGTTTGTTATAAATTTTCTTTTTTGAGTGTGTTTGATTGTAATTGTCTATTTGCTTTCAATAATAACATTTGATTTTTCTATTGTAGTTTGGGTTAACTCCAATATCAAAAATAACAATCAAACAGATGAAAAAACATTCTAAAAGTAGAGAGAAAGCTGTGCCAAAAATACCCCTATTGTTCGTTCAAAAATTGATAAGTTTCGTATAGTGTCATCGTTGTGCTTTTTAAAAAAAAATGAAAAATTAGAAAATTATTGAACTTAAATTAGACATGTGTCTTGAGAAAAAATTGAATGAATCAATGGGATTCAAATACAGTTCTAATATCATGAGCAACATATAAGAATGAACGATGATTATAGGTAAGTTTAAGAAATACCTTTCCATCATTTTGTATTTCAGGGATAATTAATCCCGCACCCGTGTGAATCCTAAATCTGCAAAAAAAATATAGATACTACCCAATTTCAAATATAAAAGTTATGAAAAAGGATAGTTCAAATTTAATACTGCATAACCACAAATCGGGCACTACTTGTAGATAGAAACGCATACATCCTACTATTAGAAGAAACTTATTTTATGTCCAACAGTAGGACAAGTAGGACTTAAGTTAGATGCATAAAATGTTCCATGTTAAATAAGATGTGGCATCAATGTACCTTTAATTTTAAACATATATTTGTGACTGATTGTACTCAAAGGTACATAAAACAAGCCGCAAAAATTATCTCACATGCATTAATTGTGAGAGACGAAGATAATGTGTCAAACTTTTTACATGAAAAGCATTGATCCGGAAATTGTGATTTCTTCAGTTGTAGATTCTGCCAAATTAAAGATGTTTTTTTACCAGTGAAAGGATTCACTCGGAAAAACATTTGTCTATGCATTCAACTTGCCTTTTAAGAAAAGAAACATTAAAGATATTCCAAGTTCTTATGAACAGAGGTCTTCATAGAGAAATTAATATATTTATGATTCAAAGTAAATGCAAGCAAAATCATCCAATTTTATAACCGAAAGTGTTCCTATCATTTCACTCTAGGATTTATCTGCTCATTTGTCATGTTCAAGTTGTGTTATCATAATATGATCATCAACATCATTATTCTCATCCCAACTATTTGGTGTTTGCTTTATAAATCCTCATTTTTCATTTGTTCCTATCAAGTGACGCAAAAAGAATTTAGCAATGCTTCGCAAATCCTTTTTAATAACTTTTTTTGTGTTACTTTAGGTCTACCCCTTTTCCATCCAAATCTTTTAGCACCAATCTCATCCAACCATCTAATGAATGTATTTTCTATTCTTCATTGTATATGTCAAACCCACATAAGTCTATTAATTATTATTATATCTTCAAAAGATGCTATTACAATTGATGAGATTGTTGAACATCAAATAATATTGGGCAGTCTAATTGATCATTCTACTAATAAGTGAGGAGATTGTGCAACCAAAGAGATGAATGTCAATCATCAATGGTTGACAAATGTAAGACACTTGTCATTGGCAAATACGATAGAGGGGATCATCACATGAGCAACAACGAACAGTCGACCTAGTCGTAGGTCATTCTCCCAATGGAACTAGAGATCAAGCAACCAAGAAAATGAGTAGGAAATTGGTGGCTCATAAAAGTCAGATTCAAAGGCTGACAAACATTAGATATCGATGGCTAACGAATATTAGAGGTTGGTAATTGACAGATATTAGATATTGGTGGTTGTCAAACATTAGATAACACGCGTTAAAAATATCAAGTAACACACCCACCATGCATATGCACTATTAAGTGTTTGCACCCAATCTTGCTGGCCACTGCCACGACACGAGTGCTCTCCTCATACTTAACACATGATCTTACAACTTTCACTCGTCACTATTATTTAAGTTCCTCTTAGATTTTCTATGTTTCTCCTAAATACCATGGTTTTTATTTCCCATCTTACTAACACAGTCACCTTCAATAATCAGCACCACCATGAACTTTAATTGTACCAATTATCTCATGAGATCAAAACATTTTGTTTCGTTGTTATATCTCATGATAAACTCCATTATCTTAACATTTGATTACACTGTTTTTATATGATTATTCAATCTCTACTCTGAGATCATCTCTCCCCAATAAAGTGATATGTAGATCCAAGAAAATTATAGCACTCTACGAAGCAAATGGGTGGGTTACTTCAGTAGCTTGCCTCTTCAAAATAGGCAGTATATGCATTATAAAGAATTTTGATGAACAACAACAACAACAACAACAAAACCTTAATCCCATTACGTGGGGTAGGCTATATGAATCATTTTTCTCCATTGTGTCCTATTTAGTGTCATATTTTCATTTAGTTCTAGTAAATTATGATCATTTTTTTATACAATAAGCCCAAGTCTTCCTAGGTTTTCTTAGCACAAGTCGAATCTAAAACATCTACTCTCCTGATCGGATCATCAGATGGTCGACGTTTAATGTGACCAAACCATCTAGACGACTTTCTCTAATTTTGTTCGTCACATGAGCTACACCAACCCTATCACAGATCCTATCACAGATATATTCATATATTCATTTCGCATTTTTGTCTTTAAGTGTAAAGCCACTCATCCACCTAATCATTCTCATCTCGGCAACACTTAACTTATTATTATGTTAAAGGCCAACATTCAGGGCCATAGAGCATTGCACGTTTCACCACCGTCTTATAAAATTTTCCTTTTAGTCTAAGCGATACTTTTCTATCACACAAAAGGCCCGAAGCATTCCTCCACTTCAACCAACCACCTTGAATTCTACTATTAACATCCCCATCTATATCACCATCGCTTTGAACAACGGACCCAAGATATCTAAATCGTTCACACCTTTTAATAATTTGATCACCCAAAGTCACACTTCTGTCACTAGAGTTACTACTACTAAAACGACATTCCATGAATTTAGTTTTAGTTCTACTTAAATGAAGGCCTTTAGACTCCAATGTAGACCTCCATATTTCAAGTTTTTCCTGAGCTTTTTCTCTCGTTTTATCCACGAGAAGGATATCATCGGCAAAAAGCATACACCAAGGTAAATCCTCCTGTAGATGTCCAGTAAGACCATCTATAACTAAAGCAAAAAAGATATAGGCTTAAAGCCGATCCCTGATGTAATCCAACAGAAATAGGAAAATATTTGGTCAATCCTCCTTCAGTTTGAACACAAGTAACAGCTCTAGTATGCATATCTTTAATGACTTAAATATAAGTCATATCAACACCTTTCTTCTCAAGAACTCTCCAAAGGATATTTCTTGGAACCTTATTGTAAGCTTTTTCTAAATCAATAAAAATCAAATGTAGATTCTCCTTATTATCTATGAACTTTTCCATCAAACCACTCAATAAATGCATAGCTTCCATAATAGGCTTTCCCAGCATAAATCCAAATTGACTATGAGAAATCTTTGTAATGTGTCTTAACCTATATTCAATTACCCAGCCTCATGACTTTAAAGTATGACACATCAACTTAATTCCTCTATAATTTGCACACTCTTGTGCATCCACTTTATTCTTAAAAATGGGAAACAAAATACTTTTCCTTCACTCCTCAGGCATCATTTTTATTTTTTAAAATAATATTAAAGAGTTCATTAAGCCAAGAAACTCTCAAATTTCCAAAATATTTTCACACATCAATTGGGATATCATCAGGTCCTACAGACTTTCCACCTCTGGTTTTCTTTAAAACCTCCTCAACTTTACTTTTACTAATGCGACGGTAAAAATGAAACGTTTTATTATTATTCACGATATTAAGATCACTAAGGTCGATCGTATTTTCAGAAACTTCATTAAAAAGTTTATCAAAATAACTCACCCACCTATGTTGAATATTTTTTCTAAGAAAAGTACTTTTTGATTTTCATCTTTAATACACATTACTTGAGTCAAATCTTTATTTTTCTTTTATTTTTGTTTGGCTAGTTTATACATATATTTTTCACCCTCTTTAGTATTTAATCTATAATAAAGATCATTAAAAGAAGAATTTTTAGCGTCATAAATCGTTCTTTAGACTCCCTGCGGGTCATTTGATATTTTTCCCATTTGTCTAAGCTTTTTACATTTAAACCAATTTTCATAATATAATTTCTTATATTTTATCTTTTCTTACACATTATTATTCCACCACCAACTAATTTTATTTATAAAAACTTTTTTCTTTTAATTCCCTAAGCACATCTTTTGCTACTTGTTTAATAGTATTTGTTACTTTATCCCACGTAACATTTGTTTCTTCATGAACAACCCAGATTTTGAAATCTTAAATTTTACTGATAAAAATAATTTTATTTGTGTCTTTTAGATTCCCCCATCTAATTCTAAGATGATAAGTCCTAGTATTCTTTACTTTACAACTCTTCATCTCAAAATCTAGAACTAATAAACGATGTTGGGTACTTAAATTCTTGCTTGGAATGACCTTACAATCTTTAAAATCTAGACAATTTTTTTCTTCTCATAAGAAAATAATCAATTTGTGTTTTATTAGATCCACTCTAATAAGTAATAAGATGCTCATCTCTTTTCTTGAATAAAGTAATAGTAATAATAAAATCATATGTTAAAGCAAAATCTAAAATAGCTCTACCTTCTTCATTAGTTACTCCAAAACTGTAACCATCATGAGTATTTCTGAAGTGTTCTACCACACTATTGACATGTCCATTTAAATCTCCTCTAATAAAAATTCTTTCTTCAAGAGGTATCATTTGTACTAAGTCTTTTAAGTCATTCCAAAAATTATTTTTAGACCGTATCTAAACATACTTGAGGAGCATAAGCACTTATAATATTAAAAATCTTTGTATTAAGTTTTCTCTAAGCTATTCCAAAAATTATCTTTAGATCATGTATCTAAACCTACTTGAGGAGCATAAGCACTTATAATAGAGGAGCATAAGCACTTATAATTAATCTTAAGGGTTATAATTCTATCTCCAATTCTATTAATTTTTACAACATTATCTTTTAAACTCTTATCTATACTTTACAACATTATCTTTTAAACATTATCTTTTAAACTCTTATCTATACTTACACCTACACCATTTCTAATGTGACTATTACCAGAATACCAAAGTTTAAAACCTAAATTATCAATCTCCTTAGCATTTTCTCCAACCCATTTAGTTTCTTGGAAACATAAGATATTAATATTTTTTATGAATCATAATATCTACTAATTCTATTAATTTATTAATTTACCATTTTCATTAATTTACCATTGAGAGTATCTATATTCTAAGATTCTATCCTAATATTAGTTTCATTAGTTTCATGGACTAACATTTTTATATGCATTCGTCTGTAATGTGGGAACTCTTGCTTATTTAACACTACAACCGAGCGTCGGTGTAGCGACCTGTTCACATTTTTCAATGTATTC